AACTAAACGTAAACGTAAACGTAAACTAAACGTAAACGTAAACGTAACGTAACGTAACGAAGTAACGAACGTAAGAGTAGAGAGAGAGAGAGAGAGAGAGAGAGAGAGAGAGAGAGAGAGAGAGAGGAAACAATCCACAGACCCATTCCAATATTAACAAATGATCACATATACGGTGCTCCCTTGGAAGTATAGTTTACTTCTACTCCCTTGGTCAAACGACCTATTTGGGAGGATTTTCTCAATCTGAAATTTTGGGAACCACTTAAAAATTACTAGAACTTTATTCTCAAAACAACAAAATTGAAATTTGAGTTTTCTAACACTAAGATCTCACCATCTAAAAATTGGATGGTCTCTATTCAATCTCGAGACATTATATTTTTCATGTTCATAGGGGGTACAATCAGGAAAAAAAATTTATTGAGGCTAAGCTATGGGTTGAAGAGGTTACATCCCCAAAATTTGCAGTCCTAAAATTAATTCTAGGTGGGATTTTACCTGAGAGAGTAAATGGACATTCTACTCTTGTGGAAGTAGAATATCTTTTGGCTTAACAAATTGTTCCCCTAGAATATGCAATTGCATGAACGCAGGAGGGTTCGCATTTGTTGCTTGCTCAGGTTAAAATCCAACTACTCAAGCTAGCAATACTCAGGAGCCATCTCAAGACCATCGAGTAAAACCACATCTATTATTGGTTCAAACATTCATCTAATGTTCGCTAAATTTTTATGGCAGTTTCAAGAAATTTATCACTCTAAACAAATTCACCAAGTGCCCCTAAGGTCACTCCAAAAGTGTTGAAATTCTGAAACTGACAGAGTCAGTCAACGAAAGGTGCATATATAGTAACTTCATAGCCATGCATTTGGTCATCTTATAGTTCGAAATAGAATGGAAGCATTCTTGTAGGTGTTAGTTACATAGTTTGAACCTTTCTTCACTGTGTATTTTGCTCAGTTTGAGAATGAATGTAAGACTCTAACATGAAGCTAATGAAATTTATTTTCTTCATGTTGCTAAACTCATGAAAGTTACCTTTTGAACATTTTTGTGCATCTGTAGCTCAAAAATCAGATAAACATAAGTGCAGACAAAGGAAATTATGCAATAAATTTCTGCATTAGCCTTTCACAAGAGCGATAATACCCTATGGATGTGGCAGGCATGTGTCATTGTGGATCTCCTAATCTGTTAGGGTCTTATTTCAAGAACCAGTTAAAAGTTAAAACAAATTAGATAATGTGAGTTCTGAAACATTTATGATCGTATAAATTTCTGAAAATGCTAAGAACTGTGTTTGTATATAACTCATCAGATCGGAAAGATTAACCAATATCAAATGAAATATGCAAAAAAACTGAAAGCAGGGATAAATTCATTGGGTTTGACAGCACCGCAAAGTCAGAAACGGAAACTTGTTTTTTTAGTTTCTAGCCAAGTTGAGCCCTACTCTTTACGCATGGGGGATGCCTCGACCATTTCAGTGCACAAAGCAATCTAGAACCCAAATAGCTAGTGCTGCCTGTAGCAAGAAGGGAAGCCTTTTTTTTTTTTTCTGAATGAAGAACTTCATGGACTCACCACCCAGGTGGATGACGACAGCAAGCGCTGTGGAGGCAAATATGCCATTTTATTTCCCTGAAGTTTGAAGGGAACCCCCAAACATACACTGATACATGTTTGAAAGGGATTGCGTGATAGGAATTTAATTCAAAACAAGATGGAGGTAAGCTGGGAGTCATTTTGTTTGTGTTGGCAATTGTTCTGGTCTGCCACAAAGCTCTTTGAATATATATATATATATATATTTAAGAAAAATATTTTCTAAGCTACTAGCTATAATGAATAGTATAAGCTACTAGCTCCCAGCCATCAGATCTTTCATCCCTTGGTTCAAAATTCATATCACTATTTTAATTTTAATCATTTTTCTATAAATCAGATTAAGATGAAATTTTGGGTGCATATACCTAACACCATTCCGCACCATATAAAAATATAAATTACTTTCAATAATTTAAAATGACCAAATTACCCTCATCATTTTTCAGGGGTATTTCGATCATTTTATATTTTAAGAAATATTTTTTATTTTTTTTTATTGTGAACCCTATTGTTTCGTATACACGTCCAAAATTTCATTATGATCTAATTTTTAGAAAAAGATTAAAATTCAAACAGTTATATGAATTTTGAACCACCCGATGAAGATCTGACAGCTGGAAG